CGAGGAGGAGTATGTAGCTAGGGAGAACATGTCTTAGATGAAGCGGTTGAGACAAGCTAGGCATAGTAGAAGATAATATTTAAAGATCATGATCATTTTTCCCGCTTACTTCTTATGCGCATTCGCTAGAGAGCTAGTATCTGAAGCATCTAAAGTTGGCTATATTAAATTGCAAGTCCTGGAGAGGAAACGATAGTTAACAGCTAAGTGTGAACCATTTTCTCCCCGTTATTTATAATCTATACTAACGAACGGTTGGCTATACTGGTTAGTTTCTAAACGCTAGACGTCTATGGAATTATACTTTATGTTGGCATCTATTCGTTAAAGTGTGGTCCAAATTTAAAGTCTCGGACTTTGGATTAATGTTCTAACGCGACGTGATATTGACGAAGGTCGATTCTGCTACTTCCTAGTCATATACCGCCCTAGTCAACCCTGAAGGACCAGCCCATAGATAAATAACGGGGACACGCGTTTAAAGCCAAACCCAGAATTTAAATTATCTCCACATTTCCTATTTGACTAAAATTCTATGGATTAAGGCAGTGCACCTTTTTAAAAGTATATCTACTATCTTGCGTCTCCGCACTAATCCTGGAACTTTGGAAGCATGTACTTATTCCCACTTAGGACTAGGATGAGAGTCGCGATCATATAACACCCCTTAAAAGCAGAGAACTATACACTGGCGCGGAACTATTATGGCTTAGTAATATTTTCAGAAATTGAACGCGACCACGCGGCATAACGGTGGAGAACGGTTTTCTCTAAGCTCACCCTACTCACCTTGCTCACCCCTCTGATCAGGGAGTGGACGAAATGATTTTTGATTGAATACTAGGGGGGAGCTGGGATATTAGGAAATGCACGTGACTAAGGGGCACTACGGCTCCTAGGAAGCTATTTTATCTTGGCGATCTAAAAGCTGTGGGTATTAATTAGTGCTAATAGGAAGTAGACCGGTACGTTCACCTCATAAATAGACATTATACTTGAAGCATCATTCTAATTGTTAAGGAACTAGATATTTAAGGGGAAACTAATTTAATTAGTAGAAAAAGAAGTGAGCTTTAAATATAAAGCTTGATCGCGTAACGTTAGTGGTAATCATTAAGGAGGTTTGGGTGAGCCTAAAAGAAGTATAATATAGTCACGTTTTATATATATAGACATAGATTTATAGTTGTCTAAATATAGATTAAAGGCTAGAAACAGGATTTCGTTTTAAGAGCATAAGGAAAATGACATGACCTGATAAGTAGCTGATCGCTAATCTGGTTCTATATCTAGCGAAATTATTGTGAGAATTTGGGTGATATTCTAAAGGTAACCATAATATCTTAAGACCATTATAGGTTATCTAGGAACGTTCCTAGCTTAATCTATATCTATACTACTTAAGCGGCGAGATGAAGTCGTTAGATATAGGCGTCACTAGACCTTTTAAACCTATGTCATATATACCGCTATTTATGTGTAGAAGATTGATATTATCGTTATTGAATTAAAGGGATCTGCTAAAGCTAATAGGAAGATTTGACACGCTCTAGCTAGTAGCTGAATCCTAGATCCTAACTATCTTATCATTAGACGCTGATGCGAGTTAGCTTCTATCTAGCGACCAGGTAATCGACCAGACCGCATTACTATGCCCCTCAAGGGTTAATACACTCTAGCTAGTAGCTGGATCCTAGAACCTGACTATCTTATCATAAGACGCTAATGCGAGTCGGCTTCTATCTAGCGACCAGGCAATCGACCTCACCGCATCACTATGCCCCTCAAGGGTTGATATACTCTAACAAGTAGTCGGATCCTAGATCCTGACTATCTTATCATTAGACGCTAATGCGAGTCGGCTTCTATCTAGCGACCAGGCAATCGACCTTACCGCATCACTATGCCCCTCAAGGGTTGATACACTCTAGCCAGTAGCCAGATCCTAGATCCTAACTATCTTATTATAAGACGCTGATGCGAGTTAGCTTCTATCTAGCGACCAGGTAATCGACCTCACCGCATCACTATACCCCTTAAGGGTTAATATACTCTAATAAGTAGTCGGATCCTAGATCCTGACTATCTTATCATTAGACGCTGATGCGAGTCGGCTTCTATCTAGCGACCAGGCAATCGACGCGACTAAATCACTATGCCCCTTAAGGGTTAATATACTCTAGCTAGTAGTCGCATCCCAGATCCTAACTATCATATCATTAGACGCTGATGCGAGTCGGCTTCCATCTGGCGACTAGGCAATTGAGTTAACCTAATCGCTATGCCCATCGAGAGTTAATATACTCTAGCCGATAGCCAGATCCTAGATCCTAACTATCTTATCATAAGACGCTGATGTAAGTTAGCTTCTATCTAGCGACCAGGTAATTAAGTTGACCTTATGGCTATGCCCATCGAGAGTTGATATACTCTGGCCGATAGCCGGATCCTAGATCCTAACTGTGTCATCATTAGACGCTAATGCGACTTGGCTTCTATCTAGCGACTAGGCAATCGATGTGACCGAACCACTATACCCATCGAGAGTTAATATACTCTGGCTAATAGCTAGATCCTAGATCCTAACTATCTTATTATAAGACGCTGATGCGAGTCAGCTTCTATCTAGCGACCAGGCAATCGACCTTACCTAATCGCTATGCCCATCAAGAGTTAATATACTCTAGCTAATAGCTAGATCCTAGATCCTGACTGTCTTATCATAAGACGCTGATGCGAGTTAGCTTCTATCTAGCGACCAGGCAATTAAGTTAACCTTATGGCTATGCCCATTAAGAGTTAATATACTCTAGCCGATAGCTAGATCCTAGATCCTGACTATCTTATTATAAGACGCTAATGCGAGTCGGCTTCTATCTAGCGACCAGGCAATCGATATGACCCAATCGCTATACCCATCGAGAGTTAATATACTTTAGCTGATAGCCAGATCCTAGATCCTGACTATCTCATCATAAGACGCCGATGCGAGTCGGCTTCCATCTAGCGACCAGGCAATCGATGTAACCAAATCACTATGCCCCTTAAGGGTTGATATACTCTAGCCAGTAGTCGCATCCCAGATCCTGACTATCATATCATTAGACACTGATGCGAGTTAGCTTCTATCTAGCGACCAGGCAATCGACGCGACCGAATCACTATACCCCTCAAGAGTTTGAAGACAGGGACTCCAGTTTTCCTCTACCACAGGATAATTTAAGACCCAGTCTGGTCTCCCATCCTGAAAAGATATCCTTACGAGACTCTTTAGTGGGCTAAATATAAGAGGTAAGCAATATACTTATAGAGGGCTGCTTTCAATTGCTATTCTATGATATCGAATAAACCTAGAGGCGTCTCGAGCTCGATTCAACAGCATTCCTGACTCTTTTCTCTTCTACTTGAGCGCACCCCTTGTCAGAAGAGAAGATCATCTCTATTCAATTTTAACCACTCACCTCAATCAAAATCTCGAGCTTTTGCATGGCTTGGATGCCATCAGACACACTTCCCAAAATACTAAGAGCTTCGAGCCAGTGGAGGAATTCCTGCTACAGAAACGTATCCACGCGACCTCTGCGATAAACTCCCAGCTCACAAGCTCCATTAACCAGGCTAGCTTCAAGATGGTCTATCCAGTAGACACATGAGTATTCCACCGCTGCTAGTGGATTTGGGCTAGGTTTGCAGATATCCTTCGTGTGGAGTCCAGGTAATTTGATATTCCAGATATCACGTTGAAGTGTCTTGAAAATAACGTCGAGAGATCGTACAAATATCATGTCGTGTTCAGCCTCTATACCTCTAGGAAGTATCTCATAGATAATGTGTCTTTCCATTTACATTATTCAGGAGTTCAATACGTGAACGTAGCGCCATCTTCTTCGAAATTGCCCCTAATCACATGGCACACTAATCCATATTTGGTTAATCTTATATTTCAATATTTGTTCCAAGGGTGAATCGTATGACTCGGAACATGTAAATTACCAACTCGGGTATCTGTACATGTAGTGGTACATATCTAAACATACTGCCCACCATTAAACAGGTCTTGTCTACCGCACGGGACTCTTGAGTAAATTCACCGTATCATTGTCTTTCCAAAGGATACATATATTCAGGCTTCGGTTATATCAGGCATTTCGCCGTGGCCTTCTCTACGGTGACGCTGTGTTATTATGATTCCTGTAGTAAATTCATAGAGGATATGTCGCAGTGACATGGCCATTCTTTTCAACCCCATTATGGGCATGGAATTGTTTCAGTCTTATTATTTAAGCCATCTAGTAAGTTTCTCCATAGCCCGCCGTGCCTTGCTAGGATTGAGATGTGCGATCTTCTGACTGTTTGGCAGTTCTCCCTAGTAAAAAAAAAAAAACATGTAATAACCAGGATTCGCATGTGGTCACCCACCGTACTACTAACTGACCGGTGTGTAGCTCATGTGCTGCCAGTAGGTCGGATGGGTTAGCGCCGCTTTAGCGTCGCGCGACCAGGGGCGAGTAGGGTGACTACAAAGTAGATGGGGTGAGAAATGGCGACAGTCGGGTGAGAAGGCCTAGGATCACGCGTACATTCCTTGCATAGAGGTGTTTTAATATCTTTATTGGTGGCCTTGACCCCCTCTCGGAACGCTCGGTCTTTTGGCATATGCATACCACTAACAGCTCAATAAATTGCATCATTCTGTTTTAAAGCCAATGAACTACTAAAGAATTTAAGTTATATTTGACCACAAAGTATGTCCTGTGTGGTGAACAGCAGTTCATCTTGACTGTTGTATGTCCTCTTTTCGATTTTTGTGACTTTCATTTCATTTCCGAATTTTACGCTTATTAGATAACCGGCCCTAGCCCGAGGACTGGTCCTTACACTCCCCGTTAGGAAATGACATGCAACTCAATTCATGGATGCAGAAATCCCGCGGTCCAATAATAATTATAGGTAATAACTAAGTAAAGCATGAAGTCAAATTCCACCACTCTCAACCATGATCAAAAAAAGTTCGACTCAAAGAGGTTCTCCAAAAGTTCCTTCGCACCATCCTTTGCACTATCCGTTGCTTCGTTCATAGGCTCGGAAATGGTATCATATGGCAAATCTGGTTCCTCGAAAAGGGTTGGGTTCAGAAGCAAGAAGACCAAGAAAATGCCGCTAGCCGTCTCGAGAAGAGATATTGCCAACCAGGAATAAACTCTCGCATGGGATACATTGGCCTGGACCCGCGACTTCGGTGGTGTTGCCGAAGAAAGTGTACCCTTCGTATCCCATGTGCGATGAAAGCTATCCCACGCAGCCAGATAACTTTGGCGGATCAGATTCTCCGCATACAAATCAAGGTTCTGCCAGGTTGCAAGTAACGTGGAGTTCATCTGGGAGAGGGAGGTCATCAAGTCTGGAAGAAGCCAAACAGCTTCTTGGGTCCAGGTATTTTCCTCTATTATGGCCTGATCAATCGGGGTCTGATCCTCAATGACTCGGGGCGAAATATAGGTGCTCAGTTTGCTGGTGGTTACGCCAGCGGTGAATGTCACATTGGCGAATAGATAACAACTCCCGAGTGCGTAGCTGGACTTGTACTGAGGGAAGTTATTCACATCTCCAAACTGGTTTGGGTCCAGGTTCTTGCAGTCTGAGTATTGGTTGGCTATGATAAGAGCCAGAGTTTGGGGTCCAGTGACTCTACTAGCCATCGGAAAACTGGTTGTTTCAACGTCATTTTTATACCATAAGTTATTGATGTCGAACACAACAGCATGTCCTGGATTTGTGTAGTAGTCAAGTGTATCGTTGACAACACTCAGTTCATCGGCGTATGATGTGGCTTGATAGTAGACAGCATCCGAGATATCACCAGCAGACATTGCCCAAGAGATATTCTGGATTTTAATGCAAGGTACAAGAGTATTCACCAGCGTTGAATTTTCCGCCAGGCCGTCAAAGTTGACAATGTGCCGGCATCCATTACCCCTGAGAGAGGTTCCATTCGCGGAGACAGTCGAAGTATCCGACCAAGCTATACTAGCAAAACCCAGTGCCATTCTGATGATGTCAGTTCTCTTGGTGGCATAAGAGAAGTCTGTGTACTGGGACCAGTATCTGTCATCCGCAGTCGGACTGCTTGAGTTCACCAAAATGGCCGATTCTTGTTCCCCGGCAATAGACGATGGGTTCCAGTTTATGGCACCGGAAACAATAGGGGCTATGAATGGCTGAGGAAGGGCAGATAGGAGAATGACAACAACTGCCCAACTACGACGTCCCCTTGGCCGCCCGAAGGGAGACCTTAGCCATGGAGGCAATCGATATCTGGTCATGAATGATACCTGCTCGGGGCTCAAGACTGCCTTCGTGTGGGTCAAATCCCATGCACATCTCCAACCCGCGATAGCTGCCCAAGATGTGGTGAAAAACTTGATCACGACTAACGCTGCTGAAACCATTGTTGTCACATCCGACGATCGAAGAAGTAACGTCCCATTGACGTATCGCGGTGTTGAGTCGTCGCCGGCGTTGTAACCGTCAACCGCATAGATGAGGACAAGAGCTAATGCGATGCTGCCAACAGTGTGCATAATGAGGAGAGGTGCGGATTTGAGAGCTTTGGTTGGACCAATTCTAGTGTGGGAACTCTCATCTTGGGATGGGTTTGCATTTTGAGCCTCTGTCACATTCTCTGGTGACACTTTTTCTGTTTCAACTCCTTCCTTCATCTTTCAAACGACAAGAGGTCCGAGGTTTGTAGCCCGTGAAAAGCCTCTGAGTAGTGTTATTGAAGTTCAGACGTCCGCGAAGAAAGAGAGAAATCAATGCATGCGTCAGCTTGGAAGACCCACAGCCCAATGTCTTGCGTTTATATAGCAATTACTTGATGTTTTGACATTCGATATTCAATACGGGCCTATCGCTTCCTTTTTCTACACAGTCGGATGTGGCTGGTTGTAATTTAAATCTTTGGACCAAGCTTCGGGAAGGAGTGTCTCTTATAGGTAAGTCCCTTGGTATTGGAGCAGCGAGGAAAGGCGTCACTGGAAGTCAACCTTAGATCCCTGTCTACGGCTTGCAGCTTTCAGCTAAGCCACATACCACATCCCAGATTCGCCATCACTGACCTATCTGTACTCCCACTAATAGAGCTTCTTGTTCTTTCTCTCCTTTTTTTGTCTAAGGCAAAAAAGGCAGAAACTCACTACCGAGTCCACCTTTGAGGAAGCTGCAAAAGGTGGGTATTTCGGTCTCCCAAGTCGCTAGGTGAAAGATAGCGCCTAATCGGATGAACTTCCCACTTTTATGCATTCATGGTGGGGTATATGCAAGTTTGATGTTCTCAGCACATTCTTGGGGGCCGCTTAAGCCCTGCTGACCATACAACTGGCTGAGGCAACCAACACATCCCACACGGGCTTGACAGGCTTAATGGGGCTAGCCCGCTACTTGGATTAGTCTTTTGATACACAATCTCACAGTCGTTTTCCTGTTTCTTATCATTTCCCATTCGGAGTCCGCGATGTTTGCAGGGTTTGTATGGAACTTCCAGGTTGGAAGTTCAAAGGTAAATTTCTGTATCTCCAATACTGGTATTTTAAGATTCTGGTATTTATTACATGGTCAGCTACAAAACGGTTTGATTACACGCTACATATATATGGATTAGCGTATCATATGATTAGGGTTTGAGACGGCCTCTCTGCTTACGATAACGTAATTCCCGGTCCAGTCGCCCACCCGGTCGGCCCGCCCACCCCAACCAACATATTAGAATTCAATCTAGAATAATTCAACCATATCCACATAATATTGAATATATAAGCTATCTAGCCAAATTTGGGCAATGCGTTATCTTATGCCCTCGAATTCCACATTTAGAACACTTTGGTGGAGCTCGACGTCGTGGTTCTTGAGCTTGATTTTGACCGGTTGGCTCTCCATCTTGAGGTTGAATTTGCGGAATTTCAACCTTTTGGGCTAATTCTTTGAGCTCTGCTACTGATAGACCTTCTGGATGAGCTATCTGCTGCTTTGATATTGCCATTTTCTTCTTCTTTTTCTCCATTCCGGCACGTAAGAGCTCATTTTCTCGAGTAAGAAAAGCGTTCCTTTGCAGCTCTATTTAGAAGCCTTTATATATCTGATCTAGACCAGTTTTCACAAGATTTGGTGGGCTCTTAGATAAGAGCTTTCGAATTGAAGAAGCTTGTTTCTGGAGTTGTTTTGAATTTGATGGTGTTCTTAGTTCCCACGCGCTGCTTTGGCTGCCTTAAGATGCTGGTGGTGGTGGTATAGGTGTATAAAGTCGAATATTAAGCTTTGAAATCACTCGATCTGGATTATATGGAACTAATCCTGTTGCTAAGAAGCTATTTTTGATAGTTTCTGGCTTGAATGCCTCGTTTCGGGCGGTTGGAAAAGCGTTAAGGAAGTCTAACTTATCGATATAGTTCACTCTATCCCGCATAAGATTTTTAATAATTCGACCATACGCGCGCTTTAAAACGGTAAAACAACCCACATCAAGAGGTTATAAAAGATAAGAAGAGTGCGGTGGCATACAAATTAGAATCACGTCGTTTTGATGGCAAAGTTCATCAAATTTTGGAGTTAAATGACTTCTATGACCGTCAAGAACTAAAAGTCGATATTTCCCCTTTATCCTTAGAAAAGTTAAGGGAAGAAAGACCTTTTAAGCCAACGAAGTCCAATTTCGTCCGTAGTCCATCTATTCGCGCTAACTTCAAAATGCCAATCGTCTGGAAGGTCATTAGCCTAACCTACGATGAAGACTTTACCTTTGAAGATAACCGTTAGAGGGAGGCTAAACCTAGACGCGCCCGTAGACTCGATTAAGGTTACCCATTCACGATTTCTAGGTTATAAAAGAGAGCGCCGACCGTAATATTCCGCTCTCGTTATAACCTTTACAGTCGCGGTTAAGCCCATCGCGAAACCGGTCTCGTTAAAGTTATAGATATCATCTTCGTGGATACCATTCTCTTGAATCGTCTTTTGAACTAGATTAAACCATTCCATAATGATTTTAGGGTCCTCGCATTTCGCTCGTTCGTAATTATAGCGTCTTGAGAACCGTGTATCGAGTTCTAGGTGTCGTTTAACGTAAGTTAAGACCCAATTTTTGCCAACGGTTTAAATCGGGGTTATTCCACGCGTCGCGAGTAAGAGATTAGCCATTTCTTACACCATACTAGGTCGGGGTGCCGCTCCACGTATATCTATAGAGATTATCCAATTCTTTAGTGAATTCTCCTCAATTTCAGTCAATTTAAAGGAATTTGAGCGGAATTCAACGCGGTTTTCAATTCCATTAAGCCGACCTCGTAGTGTTGAACGTGGGATATCATATATACGTGCTGCCTCGCGAATTATCAATTTTTCCTGCTTTTTAAGAGCCTGGATAGCAAGTAATATCCGGCCCTCTTATTCTGTCAATTTTTGACGATTTTGAGCGTGAATTGGTGGCATGGTGGTTAGTTAAATAAGAAAGGTTGAATTAATTGACGCGTTTTGGTTGGGGTGGGCGGGCCGACTGGGTGGGCGACTGGACCGGGAATTACGTTATGGAAGGCGATAACGTAATTCACCCCCGAGCCAGCCATCCCGGTCAGCCCGGCCACCCCAACCAAAACGCGTGAATTAATTAGACTATATTTCTTCAACCAACCACCATGCCACCAATTCACTCTCAAATCGTCAAAAATTGACGCTTCAAGAAGGTCGTATCTTACTTGCTATCCAGGCAATAGAAAAGCAGGCGAAATTATCAATCCGTGAAGCAGCACGCATATACAATGCCCCTAGAACGACGCTCCAAGACCAGCTCAACGGACGTGAAAATCGCGTCGAATTACGCGCAATTACCTTCAAATTAACTAAAATCGAGGAGATTTCGCTTAAAGAATAGGTGATCTCTATAGAAATACGTAAAGTAGCACCACGTCCTTCTATGGTCCAAGAAATGGCTAATCTCTTACTCGCGACACGCGGAACGACCCCAATTCAAACCGTCGGCAAAAATTGGGTTACAAAATACATTAAACGACACCCAGAACCTAATATAAGGTTCTCAAGACGCTATAATTATAAGCGGGCAAAGTGCGAGGACCTAAAAATCATTATGGAATGGTTCGACCTCGTTCAAGAGACGACCTTAAAGTATGGGATCCATGAAGATGATATATATAACTTTGATGAGACGGGGTTCGCGATGGGCTTAACAGCGACCACAAAAGTTATTACAAGAGCAGAATATTATGGTCGTCGCTCTCTTTTACAGCCTAGAAATCGTGAATAGGTTACCGCGATCGAGTGTACAGGCGCGTCTAGATATAGCCTTCCTCCGATGGTTATCTTTAAGGCAAAACTATACATAAAAGGCTGGGCCAAAGAGATAAAGCTTCCAGGCGACTGGCAATTCCAGGTTAGTCCGAATGGATGGACCTCGGACGAAATTGGACTTCGCTGGCTCAAAAAGATCTTTATTCCATCGACTTCCTCAAGGTTAAAGGTGATATATCGACTTCTGGTTCTAGATGGTCATAGAAGCCATCTAACTCCAAAATTCGACGAAATTTGCTCTCAGAATCATATAATTCCAATCTGCATGCCACCGCACTCATCACATCTTTTACAACCTCTCGACGTAGGTTGTTTTACCGTTTTAAAGCGTGCGTATGGAAAGTGCGTCGAGAACGTGATGCGGCAAGGTTAGAACCATATCGATAAGTTAGACTTTTTAGACGCCTTTCCGGACGCTCGAACCGAAGCTTTCAAAGCAGAAACGATCAAAATTAGCTTCTCTGCGACTGGCCTAGTCCCATACGACCCAAATCGGGTTATTTCAAAGCTTAATATTCAGCTCCGGGCACCTACACCACCACCATCTCGAGGAAGCCAAAGCAGCGTATATCAGACGCCATCAAATTATAAGCAGCTCCAGAAGCATAAAATTTCGATCAAAATGCTCTTAAAAAAGCGCTCTAAAAGCCCACCAAGCCCGCTACTTTCTCAAATAGACCGGGTGCTTAACTCATGCCAAATCCATATGCATAATCACGCTCTTCTAACTCAAGATATCAAGCTTCTACGCGCTAGAGCGGAGAAAACAGAGTCAAAAAAAGCACGTTCTAAGCTCCAGATATCAGCTCCAGATATCAGCTCCAGAGGGTCTATCTGTCGCTGAGCTTCGAGAACTAGCTCAAAATGATGGAAATGGTCAAATTGAAGCTCCATCCAACCAGCCAACCGGTCAACCAGAAGCACAAGAACGACGATCTAGGGCGCCACCAAAATGCTCGAATTGTGGTATCCAGGGTCATAAGAGAACGCATTGTCCAAATTTGATTAAATAGCTTAGATACTTAATATTACGTTGTTTTGGTTGAATTATACTGGTTTAATTATCATAATTTGGTTGGGGTGATCCGGCCGACCGGGATGATCCGCTCGGTGGTGAATTACGTTAGTTAACTAACTTATACCGAGACCGGTTATCTTCTTGCCCCTGAGCTGAATCCCTTTTTCTTTGCTTCCTCTTGCTGCACTCGCGACACCGTTCAAAATTTTATTATCATGCTTGAGATGCTACATATCTTTCACTATGTCTGACGCTCACACGCAAGCTCAAACGCTGGACGAAAGCCTTGTCGCAACGATCTCTAGTATATTTACCTCTGCTGGTGTTCCGAACATCCTTTGGGGCAACTATTTACTGACTGTATATGGCGTTCCCACTATTGTTGACGTACGTGATTTTTTTCTTTCGTCCAAATGAAATGTTTTTGACCTAATTATAGGGTGTGGCATTTGTTGTACCCGACGAATCGACGAAGATTGCCCTGACCTCGATTCGGAAAGCTGGTTTTGCCGCTTGTCCACAAGGCCTAGGTTGCCCTGTTTTAGATGGATGTCGGGGAAACCTCCCCTTCGAACATTTGCACATTGATGACGAACTTGTAATCTCAGTATACCGGAAGTCCGATGTGCTGTGGGAACTATCTTTTTCCGAAGGGAGCCTCGACATTTTGAATGCATCAGACAAACGGCTTCCATCAGCGGTACCCGGCCGTGGCCGAGGACGCTTCCCACCTGAATTTGGCTCTGTACAGATTCCTCACCCTGTTCGATACTGTGAGACTGTAATCATGTTGCTCTGTCGAGATAATGGCACCAGATCTGCAAATTACTGGATGGCAATTCTGACATATATTCTGGAATATGTGGACGAAACAGTTTTGTTTGATGAGAACAGCCTGGGCGAAGCCTATAAATTATTCTATCGTGCACTCAAAGAAGGAGATTTCTCAAGGATGTATCTCCTTCTAGATGATCTCCGCAGTGAATTGGCTGTAGAGCGCCTTCAGCTGCACAGAATCGAGAATTACTAGTCTTTCCTTTAAAGTCATGCTTTTTTCATAGTATCCTCTCTCGGCGGCTCATATTTCAACGATTTTGGCAGTGTCGAACCCCTCTGTCTGAGAAAAATAGTATCCTCTTTGGTTTGAAACCACTCTTTTCCCGGTCTCTGCGTCTCGGAAGTCACAGTTGAAATGGGTATGACCAAAAGCCCATATCTTGACAACCTCCTGTTTCCAGCAGGATTCGCCTGACAGATCAGACATAAAACCAGAGGACATTTTGCTATGTCTATGCTTCGGATCGACGACGTTTTCGCTGATTAGGGGACAATAATGGGTGAGCACAACGATTTTGCGACTAGGTTCCAAGCGCGAAATAGACTTTACTTCACGATTGAGCCATTCAAGGTCAGTTTGGTGTGCTTCTTGGTGTGCTTCAACCGACCAATCACTAATATGATAGAAGTCGTTCAAGCCATAACTGACGCCTTCCATCTGCGTTTGGGCTATTTGGGAAAATAGGGTGCAGCCGAGGATGCTCAGTGTCGGTGAAAGGTCATAGCGTGTCTGATCGAGGAAAACAAACTGGCCCGACGTTTCGCCTCGTTTGAAAGACTCGTTGAGTTGGGACTCAAATATTTTCACACGTAACTTTGTTTGAGCCCAATTGCTGTGATATGGTTCGTGATTGCCAAGAACAAGGAATACGATGCGGAAGGCTTCTATTTGCTTGCGAATAAAATGAAAGAAGCCCTCGTCCTTGACGTAGCCAATGTCGCCGATCAATGCCAGATATGGCGCTCGGGGTTTGACTTGGAAAATATCGTATGCAGCTGGGGATTCCAGGTGGAGGTCAGAAATCATTTGGAATTGCGTCTCAGCCATCAGCGGTTACATGCAACACCGATTGTTTCGAAGTTTGTGAGGTTACCTAAAGATGCGGGGTCTCCAGCGCTAAATATGTCTTGGTTGGCGCCCTGGTTATGTGACATTCAATGAGACGGATTTACAAAAACCAGGCAAACAACAGCATTCAAAAAGATAACCAAGAACATTCTCTCTAAGCACAAATCATTTCCAAAAAAATAGTTCTTTCTTTCATTTAGAGTTCCAATAACTACAATGTCTAGCGGGCTGTCCTTTGCTGAGTTGGAGGCAGCTGCCGGGGCTGTCATTGAAATCCTCAAAACTATACCGGAATTCTCGAACTCCCGAATCGTTGTCATCGGGGGCTTAGGTCTCTGAAAATACATTCGCAATTACCGAACAACTGATGATCGTTCTCAAGAGCTAATCATGGACTTTGAGTAGCCGCTGACAGCATTACTAATAGGACGTCGACTTCCTCATAACTGTCCAGGGCGCTCCCAAAGCAGTCAAAGATAAACTGCTTGCTTTGCCATCATCTCCATTCCAATAAAGAGCTCAGCTATTCTACTACAAAGGCTCCGATGGCAAATTAATTCAAATAGATATCACTCCTGATTGGCAGGTGAGGCCGTGGTAGCATTATTTTTCAACAGTATGATATTAATGATAGCCTACAGTCACCCTATGTCCCCTCCGCAGCGATACCCATATCGACTGTTCGACCGAATGCACTGCCATATATCTCGGAGCTAGATCTACTCATCTTCAAGATCAACAGCTGCGGATTACGACCCACGCCAGGGAAAAAGTTGCGTGATGCAACTGACGACGCCTTGGAACTTCTGGAAGATCTTAATTCCAAGGGGCCTATTGTGCTTTCAGTGTCTCAGAAGAATGTTATACTTCAATGTTTGGATGACGTGGCTCGAATGTCTGGGAAAGATAAAGCCTGGTGGATTGCGAAGCTGGCTCTGAATTAGCTCCACCTCTTTACTTCAAACTAGCGATGTGGAAGCTTAGCCGAGTGTTCACCACTGGTTTTCATCGCTCTATGTTAATCTTTTTGTCTTTGAACCACGATGTGACCCCGGCCACGTTCTGGCTCACGTGCCACGATATCTCTAGCAGTCTTTTCCCACTGGGTTTAGCTTCCGTCCACCGTGTGAGGTACCTCTAGGACAGCCACCGCCACTGGCCGGTAAGACCCATGAGTGGAACATATTTGATCTCGAGGGCGTTGTATATCAGCTACATTGGATCTCTGATCGGCGTTCAGCAAATCATTATTTATTATTTTTGCTTGGCTACTATGCACTTAAGCTCATAGTATTGCATATCATCTATCTCTGCTCACAAAAGGTCCGAGTGCTTTACCGAATGAGGAGCGTGCTAAAAGGGATGATGTAGGACTATAACCGACATACCTGATTTTCACGAGTCACAAAGAAAATGGGAAATATTGAAGATGATAGACATAGGAGGCATAAAGTGCAAGCTTGCCAACTTGGCATTTAATACTTTGGCCTTCAACATATCCTTGGCCCGGACCCTTTTCTAAGGGCGAACCCTCGGTAAATTGTGCTATTCTGGGCTATAATTGTCACACGCTTTGACCACTAGTGATGTGCTGACCAAGCCTCCCGTCTTCGTGGCCATTGCGCGCACCATACTGACAAAAGCCAAGATCATCTTGTTAGACGAAGCCACGGCCTCACTCGACACGAACACCGAAGAACACGTGCAGAACTCCCTTGCAACTCTTGGGCGTGATCGGACCATTCTCGTTATTGCCCACCGACTTAGCACCGTAACAGGCGCGGATTCTATTCTCGTCTTTCACGACGGTCAAGTGGTTGAGCGGGGCACCCATCGAGAACTCATCAAGCTGAGGGGCCGTTACGCCTCTATGTGGTGCAAGCAGACTAGTGAACAGCCCGAGAGTGGATTCAATGGGAGACACGAAAAGGAAACCAAGGCCCAATTGTAGCCCATAGCATTGACAACCCGCCGGGAAATGGTCAATTGCGGTGGATCATGTTTCAATTGTCGGCAGGATCAGAACCACAGCTGGTCTCTCGGATTTCTCGTAGTCTGCGAGAGACCACTATGTATATATGTCAGCTGCGTTTGATGAAATTTTGGTTCAATTGAACAATCATCTCTGTGACGTGGGACAGTCTCTGTAGCTCTCTCTCACTTATCGAAACAGCCCACAACCTCATCCTATATGTGACAAGCTGCCGACTTTTGGAAGCTTCATTCTCTCGAGCACTTGAGGCTTGTTAGACGTCATCACTGATGGTATTGTGACACCACTGGTATTTTTTTGAGACTTCTACATTGTATTGTAGCGGTGACACAAATCATGCAGTGAACGTGGCTACGGACGCGGCAATGGTCGGTTTGATAGGAGATAAGATTGCCCTGTGAACAAGTCTAAACTTTTCATCCACGTTCTCGCTTCTCAACTCCAATAACTTAGCCTCAATCCACGCCAAGCAAGCTTGCACTCTGGAATTAGACGTGAAGTAGAACGAAGATGTGCAAATCATTCGCGCCTACTAAATAGCCTCAGAAATATCCGTTGGTGCAGTTGGGCCAAGGCAACTGGGGCTCCTATCTGCTAGAGAATCTGACGAGATCTGTACCTATTCCCTAGGCCCTTGGGCTCCTAGGAGCTCACACGTATTGAAATATCGCACTGCGTATCTTGCGCCGAATGAGCTGGCTCTTAGACTGGTCTAGTAGGTCTGATTTGAAACATATGTTGTGTGTTTCTTCTTCTGGATCCTCTTTTTGCTCATCTTATGTTCATCATGAGGGTTTTCACTATCCTGTACACCACATTCACTATGTTCTTGTCGGTTGTGAAAGGTATACGGTTTGTATCGTCTCATGGAAGTCTTCCACAGAGCTCACTGCACAGACTCGAATTGGTAGGATATGTATCCACGTTTGTGTGCGCGGCCGTGAGCTTGGGACTGAAATGCAACAACAGTCATGGCCCTGTCGAAGAAATTTTGAGAGGGCTCATCGCCATGCTCATGACCTTACCTGGGGTAATGTGACATCTTGTTTTGTCATTGCAAAAAGCTGATTGCAAGTCAGTATCTCGGAATTCAAGCTCATTTAGTCAATTCTAGGGGGATGTCTCGTCGACTGAAAACCTGTTTCCTTTTTCTCGTCTCTTTCTCGAGCCTGGCAAAGATATCTGCTACCATAGTTGGGACATTCGAGTATCGCTCAATGTGTTTTGCCGTCATCTTCCTGATTTCTTGGATTGTTTGAGCATGGCTTCTTTCTACTGGTGGCTACGTCGGCAAACCATGCCCAGATATCAGAGTCGACCCCACGTCACATATGTTGCATGCCAACTATCATGTCTGCGTGTGAGTCTCTTGCTCATTGCCATCGTGGGAACTGTTATAAAAAGCTGCTCATTATCGCTAAAGATAAGTCGTTACTCCTGCCTCAAGAGAGGCGTACTCTGACTCGAAAAGCTTCAAATTCTCATTGTCGGGCTCTCCTCACTTGTGGTGATTCTCTTTGGATGGTGCGAACGTTTGAAATGGTACATAGGAATCCGCTTCCAATATTATATCTATGTGGTTCCTATACCCAAAGCCGGCATGGGTTCATGAAACAACATGATCATGAAAATCCATGCCAAGACCCGCATGTGAACACTAAGTCCATATTGTGATATGACCCTATTCGGTATTTACGCCTGGTTAATTGAAATCCTCGCCAGTGTCATCCATGAATCACACACTACAGAAAATAATTTTGCGTTGACGTTATGTCGATGAATCCCTACATAATGACCGATAATGACCATTGATTTGGCCGTTTTAGTGCCCACATAGTCTACTAGGTTCCATCCCATTACATGCGTGATAAGCCCGGACTTCAAAGGCTGAGAATGTATGGCAACATCAATCCCTGCACCCACATCGAGCAAACTTAGACCGCTTCGAAGTGACCGCGAGACCGTTCTCCAAATATGCATAGATTAAGCTTTATTGTATTCCTGACTCGTACTGTACCACGGACTTTTCTCATGCAAAGTTTCTTTTCCAGACACATCTGCGCTTTTAGTGGGTCTAAAGCCCTGATTCGGTAGACAAACCTGGGCTGTACTTAGGGTTCCGAAAGGAATATGATTATTCATGAATATTCATGAATATTCATGAATTTTTGTGAATATGAATAATATGAATATGAATAATATGAATATGAATAATATGAATATGAATAATATGAATATGAATAATATGAATATGAATAATATGAATATGAATTGTTGAGATAGATATATCGATTCTGGTTGTTCATTTTCTTCTTAGTTATCCATTACAGGAGCAGGATGCCTCATATATAACTATCCATTCCCAATCCTTGCCATAAGGTTCAGCCACCGTGATACTCAACAAGGCGAGTATTCGCATTCCTTTATTCCTTTCGGAACCCTAATTGGTGACTGTTGTGATATGAGGCTAGTGCAGGCCAGGAATCAAACCGCACCATCGGAATTAATTCCCGCATTGTCTATACGAAGAACCAAGTTGATTTTCAACCAACTTGATCTTGTTGTATATATAGCCTCAGTCAATCCCTCTGGTACAACAATCAATTTTATTCCTCTGAACTACAACAGTGACTGCATCGCCGAAAATAATTGGAAGTGATCTAGTTGGTAAGCTGGTATGATCACAATTCTCATTGATTATCGACCTCGACCGTACACATGCCATCCCTTTATTTACTTTCTGACTTTAACGTATTGATCACCATTGTGAACTCGGAAAATCCGCAAGTTGACGCCCAGCGACTTTTCGAAGCAAGGTCTTCACGCTGATTTTGGACCGTTCATCTCAGCATTTTTACTCGTGATAAGCCTTCCAGGTGAGTTGGGAGTGCGGGCTGTTGGGATAAGTAGTACTCACCCACTTCGATAATATCGGAATCGACGCGCGCCTTCACTATCATTCCAGACAGCGAAGAACCCGCCAACAAAAAGCGAAGTCGGTATTGTCCGGGCCGACGAATGAAGAGATCTTCGAATGTCGCCAAGCATCGATTGTCCGTTCGGCATTTTAAAGACGAGGTCAAGAATCCACCGATTCCATGTAATAATTGGGCATCGTCAGCGCCTCTGAGAGAAACATTGATGGCAAAGTCCATATGTACTAATGGTTTTTGCAGGCCAAGTGGTTCCGCCACAACAATTACACTAAAATATTCTCCTTGACAAAGACGAGCTGGGGGTTCACGGACGAGAGAAAGGGGATATTTGCATTGGGAAGCACTGCTTGCTCCTTCCGCATCCCGAACCGTGTTTTTCACTGCAAACATCCCCGCGTATCAAATATCAAAGGGGAACAACCAGATTGAGTGCGGGCCTCATTGGTCCTAGTAATTAGAGCACACTGACAAATTTCTTGTTCGTAGTCACCTTATTCGTAAGTGGTGAAGATCAGCTCTACCACTCTACTATCTTCAGATTGTGACGTAGGTGGCTTTAGAAGTGACTGAATAGCAGCCGACTGTGATTTTATGTAATTTTATGTTACCAAAAGACTATACTCGGCATAAAGCAACATTAAGTTACTGGAATATGTTTCTGCAAGATCTGGCGACCTAGTTCCTAGCACGCTCTCGATCGCCAGTTGTCCAGCATGATTCAAAAGAAATCGCGAGTGGGCTGCAAGGGCTCCAAAGTGGGGGCCGGGAGCCAAAAAGGGGGAAGCCAGGCCGGTCTTTTAAGTCGCCCCCGGGAATCTTTTCCAAGCAGTACGATTCGTGCACCGGTCATCGTTGACGATCATGACACTGGCACGTGCCTGCACCTGAATAGAGCCCACGACATCCAGTAACACCTATCCGGATTAGACCGGGTCGCGCGTCCGCTCGCGGCGCGTTGCAGAGGGTAGTCGAAGATTATAGGCCCGGGCCTCGGTCGAAGAAAGTTGCCTTAAAATAGATGGGATTTTTGGTTTCAGTCTTCCTCTTTCCACCTCCCTTTTGGAGCGCATAAATCTACTCTTCAATATCTTCGAGAGGTATTTCTTTAAAATATTTGAAGACAAGACCCCGGATGAGCATCGCGCTCTACTGCTCATGGACGACCCTTCCCTTTTTCCATCCAACGACCACCGGGTCCGTCGATCCGGTCACTGGCACGAGTACCGCGAGATTATCGAACAACTCTATCGCACCGATCAATTGAAACTACGAGATGTGAAACGTATTATGGAGCAGGAATACAAGTTTTTTTGCCTCGCATTGCGCCTTTTTTTTTTCTCTCTCTTTCTCTTCTACAATTGCTACGTCAACAAGAACTTCGCCTAACTCTTTACATTCGCTTCAGGGAAAAACAGTACAAAGATCGTCTTGCGGCCTGGAACGTTCGAAAAAATATCAAAGCCGCTGAATTCGAAATCATGATTCACAAAAAGCAAAAGAGTGCCGCCCAGGGCAAGCGAACGGCCTTCCGCAGGGCCGGCCATGTTGTTGATGACAGGCGAATTGCCCGCTTTGCTCGTCGCTCTTGTGCCTCATGGGTGCGGCATCGGGATCAAGACACAGAACTGCGAAGTCCCGAACCGGGTAGGTTCTTATATTCGATCGTCAGAAAAATTATGTCGAATCTCATGCAACTAGCAACAGAGACCCCTTCCAATATGTCGTGCTATACGCCTGAACCTGAACAAAAAGGAGCTACAACGGCATCACCGCCAGATCAGCCTTCTCCAACGAGGGAAGTTCCTCCTTTCCCCCTGAGTTGTGGTATCACCACCTGCTTCCAAACGACTACCGTGATGACACATTAGATCGAAGACTAAGCATATCGATAGATGCCAGCAATATTGAGACTATGTCCGATCTAGTCATTGATGACGATCGACCCTATCAGATGATTATGCATAATACGAATAGTCGAAAAAACAGTTTTTCATCGGACCATGTCACTCACGCAGGTGCTCACTTGGTATCTCATTCGATTCACACGGCGACTCAGCCTTTGCTCCCTTCACCCAGCTCCCCGGCCCTTTATTTATTCCACGATAATCATCATCCCGGCCAGCACGCAACTGTAGCCTCTGCCTCTGTTGTACCGTTTGTGCCCGTTCACCGGGGCGATATTGATCCCCCCGGCGAGCTGGTCACCAACTCTGATGACTGGAACCGCCTCGATGCTTTTCAGACTCGACTCGAAGGTCTGCAACACACTCTCAACCTGACAATGTCCAAATGGGACCGGGAACCTGACCCCAATATAGAGTTTACTAATCACGAGGGGCTCGGGATGTGATTTTGCTCGCTGTGTATATGAATTCTCATCCATGTCTTCTATCATCTGGAGCGGAGGTTTTCTTGTTCCCTGTGTTTCGATAGGTTCTCTAGGCTCTTGCGTTTTGCTTCTCCTTCTCCGCACGTATAAAGAATATACGCGAGACCCGCACACCTATTGTCAAGGTTATACATGAAGCATACAGGACGGATGGAGATAGGATCTGCGCGGAACCCATATGCACCTCCCTGACACGGTTGCTAAGAGCAGAGAAGCGGATTCTAGGAGCCATATAGCCCCTAGTGTTGTAGTTCAGAGGAATAAAATTGATTGTTCTTTGTACCAGAGGGAATAACTGGGGCTATATATACAATGAGGAAATCAAGTTAGTTCTTCGTATAGACAATGCGGGAATCAATTCCGATGGTGCGGCTTGATTCCTGGCCTGCACCAGCCTCATATCACAACACCTAGGAAACCCGACGTAGCTTCTGGGGCCTTTTACCTCCACCTCGGGGAATCAAAGTCGTATTCCTGTTGACCTTACTTTAACTCTTGAAACCTTAAGTGCGATTCCTGGTACCACAGCTTGGCCTTCTGGGAGTACTTAAATGGCTCGGATTTGTGCGCAGGTCTGGTGAAGGTGTTTAGCGAGGATTTCCCTCGACCCTCGGAGGCAAAAAGTTGACTCTAGGGCCCAGATGGAGGGTCCCAGGAGTGCAACAGATCCCAGATCCCGCCCATGTGTTCCCAAAGCCACTCCTCTTCACTTACGAACTAGGTTAAAGGTAACTTTGGCGAAATCCCAACCCGATCAGCTCAAGACAGTACCATGAACCGATCCCAATCTTGACCGTGACAGTGACGAGGCGAAGACTGCTCTGGAAGGCCTGAGCCTGTTTACATTTTCTCAAAGACAGATTGTCAGGCCATGAAATTCTTTGTGGCAGCAACAGGCCTGGAGTTCCCGTGAAGGCGGTAGGTAAATATTTTAGTTCGTTCGCGGGGCGATCTTGCGCTCAGCTGGGAACACGGACATGAAGAGAGTCCCCTCTGGTGTCGAGACTTTACTTGACTTGCTCAGTGGTCTCGAAGATCATTGTTTGATTATATGTGAGTTTCATTACTGCAGTTTCCCGTGTCTCGTCCCCTCCTTGTTTCTTCCTCATTCCTCCCACCATCCATCCTACCTGCTTCACTCCAATTTTCTCCGCTCTCGTTTTCTTGATACGATCAAGTCCAGAATAGGGCCAGACGTCGAATTCTCCATGGAGAACTACCAGAAAACCGAGAAAGTCGGCGAAGGTACGGGCTTTTGACGCGTTTTTTGGTTTTGTTGATAAGCTCCTGTCGGAACTCAGCTCACGCGTTTTTTTGTCCCTAGGCACGTATGGTGTCGTCTACAAGGCCCGCCAGCTGAACCATCCTTGCCGTCTTGTTGCTCTGAAGAAAATCAGACTGGAGGCCGAAGATGAGGGTGTTCCTAGCACCACCATCCGCGAGATCTCGCTGCTCAAGGAAATGCAGGACCCCAACATTGTCCAATTGCTTGACATCGTCCATGCCGATAGCCACAGTCTCTACCTCGTTATGGAGTTCCTCGATCTCGATCTGAAGAAATACATGGAAGCTCTACCGGTTAGCGAGGGTGGTCGTGGTAAGCCTCTTCCCCATGAGTCTACGTCGATGGCAACCCTAGGACTAGGCGATGCTATGGTTAAGAAGTTTATGGCCCAGCTGGTTGAGGGTATCCGCTACTACCATAGTCGCCGCATCCTGCACCGTGATCTGAAGCCCCAGAACTTGCTCATTGACCGTGATGGTAACCTGAAGCTGGCCGATTTTGGTCTGGCAAGAGCCTTCGTGTCCCGCTACGGACTTACACCCATAAGGTAAGCACCGGTATTCTTGAAACGGACTGCATCTCAGCTCACCGGCACATTCTATCTCAGGTCGTTACGCTGTGGTATCGCTGCCCCGAAATTCTACTTAGGGGCCGCCAGTATTCTACTGGCGTCGATATGTGGTCCGTCGGCGCTATTTTCGCCGAGATGTACACCCGCAAGCCATTATTCCCTATGGTGACTCGGAGATCGACGAAATCTTCAAGATCTTCCGGTAGACACTTCTTTCACTTGGTGATTGACCAATCACTAAACGTGTTTTTCGTTCTACAGTGTCCTCGGCACCCCCGACGAAGAGCTCTGGCCCGATGTCACTTCATTCCCCGATTATAAGGCCACTTTCCCCAAGTGGAAACGCCCCGATGCGTCGATTGTCCCCGGCATGGAGCCTGCTGGTCTCGAGCTGCTGGAGGCCCTACTCCAGTACGACCCCGCCCACCGGCTTTCGGCGAGGCAGGCCTGCATGCACCCCTACTTCCGAAACGGAAGCTCACACTACTCCGGCCGTCTCAAGCGCAACGGTTATCAATAAAACCAGCGCGTAACTTTTCCGATTAAATTTCATTCAAATCATGTCACAGGATTGCACACAATGTCAATATTCTGAGGGCATGCTTTTTCTGTTCCTTTTTCGTTTTCACGTAGGAGTTTGGGGGTGTGGGGTGATTATGAGAGGTCGGGATTGGTACAAGTTATGCTTAAGACTAATCCAAGTAGTCCTAGGACCAACCAATATGGATCATTATCTAAGGTGTCAATTCAACGCCTTCATTTATACCTCGCATAATCAGTTGGAAAAGAAATGATGCGTACATAGTGTGGGACTCATATATGCGTAATTTTTAGCATGGAGTGCCATGAAGAGGTAACCGCGATGTTGAATATATGTATCCAATTTTCAATAACTCACTAGTGGAGAAATATATATTGAAATCCGACCCATCTTCCGCATTCGAAGAAGGCCTTTGAACTCTAATAGACGAAAGGGGTAAAAGTTAGAATAACAAAAAAGAAAATAACCAGAATACCTAAATAATGTTTACAAGTTCAAAATATTGAGTCGATGTAGGGCCAAGCTTCAACGAGGTTCGCGGATCGGTGCAAGCGACCGTGACCCACACCTCAACACAACCAACACTAAAGCGAGGCTGGGAAAAAAAAGGCTCATCAGTCCTAGGGATGAAATGGTAGGCACTCATGGGTGATTCAATGTTGCCCGCTTATAGATGAGGTGGTCAAAACACGAAACATGAGCCTGTCATTGCTGATTGAATATCTCCAATGCACTACAAAAGCTCAATTTAACAAGGACGTGAAGGATTCGACAGTCAGCCAACGTTTCTTGGTCGACTCAGCATCCCTTTTCTCAACCCGACTCTTGCTCGTTTCTCTCACTGAGCATATCAGGGCATCAAATGTCGATCCAAATAGTTGCGTTAAAAAGAAGACATGGGTTTCAACAGGCCTCAATTAGGATAGGTGTCCTTCAACGCTTGCTACCTAGCAGAGCACGTATGCGACAGGATGAGCCGAGAAATCTATAAATACCTGCTCTACAATTCGATCACTTGACTGCGCAAAGCCGAGCAGGCCTTGCGTTTGAGGCACCTGATACGTTCTTCTCTTTGACCTACTGGATTTCCACTGTACTGACATTTATAGTTACATTGTGGACCGACAAGCTAGGAAGTGCTTGTGAGAATGAGATTCCCGCCAGGTCCACTATGCCACCCATGCCAGCCGATCAAAGAAGCAGATTTGTGTTAGATGGTCGATGTGCCTATGCGAACATCTGTCCACCATAGCAGCCGACCACCGTCCGCTCCTGAATATATCGATGCAAAAGAGAGGTCGAGGTAAGTAAGTCTTAGCGCGACCCTGTCCGGCACTAGACTGACTTCAAAGACGATGCGAAACAAAGATCCATGCATAGCATCCAATATACACCAGCCACGGTGCCCTTTCCCGTGTCGTCTTTCAGAACATGTGAGTCCTTCATTGGCTCGCCGATCGACAAGCTAATGATGGATAGGTGACCGTTGACAGCACACCAAAGTGAGTCCGACCCAGCACTCCGTCAGTGCTCCCCGCAAAGTCACGGCTTACACGCCATTTCTGGCCGTCAATTCAACCCATGCAACATGTCCTGAAATTCTGCAAACCAGGACTGCGGGCCAACAACAGGACACATAAGCGCCAGACTTTCGTTGTCCACGATGAGGTGAGTGGATTATCGCGTCTCTTGCTGCGCTGGTTTTGAGTTTCTGCCAGTCTGTGCCCCAGACAAATGTTGTGATATGAGGCTGGTGCCGGCCAGGAACCAAGCCGCACCATCGGAATTAATTCCCGCATTGTCTACAGTATACGAAGAACCAAGTTGATTTTCAATCAACTTGATCTTCTCATTGTATATATAGCCCCAGTTATTCCCTCTGGTACAAAGAACAATCAGTTTTATTCCTCTGAACTACAACGACAAACACCACTGACATATCTGTGCCGTTGTAGGAGCAGCCCATCGCCAACCGCAACAATTCTTGTGGCGAGGTACCTATTCCCGCCGACTCAGATAAGACCACAGGGCCGACGCGCCATCGCGTCTTCCTCTTCCTCACCGCCTTCACACACTGAACGACAGAGTGCCTCAACCTCTCGCTGTCTGCACGAAGCTGTCTCCTAATACAACTGTACAATTTCTTGTCACGCGTGGGTTCGTCATGCGCCTTTGCCGTCTTGTGAACTTCCCAGTGCATCCAGCGCAACTTCTCGAAGCGACAGCCGGAGAGTGCGACGAACGTGGATACAACATGGTATATTGGTGACTGTATCGCAGAACTGAATTGGTAGTGATCTAGTTGGTAAGCAGGTATGATCACGATTCTTGTTTATCATCTGTCTCAACCGTACACTCGGGTAGTTCTTCATGAACAACGTAAAGCACAACACCTCGTCCAACTGGATCAACACTTGCTGACTCGGATCTCACCACAAGAAGACACCCTCAGATTCTCACAGTCAAATGCGAAGCGAGCAAATGTCTTGTCTGCTCGGCTTCCCCTGCACCAACACCATCGCATGCTCTGTTTCTTCCAAGTGACTACTGGTGGCATCGACTAGTCGCTACCTCGACCTTCTCTCCGTGATTTGGTTCATCAGATCACGCGTTGGTATGCCTACCTGATGCAAGACCCAATGGAGCGCATAGCAGTGTCTGTTTCTCGGCATTTGAACACCCACAGGGGATAGCCTAGTTGCGGCTTGGATCCCTAGCGTCCAGTGGGTGACCATCGTTCTCCTCAGATGGCGTCTAGCGTCTCTCGAGCCTGAAAATCTGCGAGCCTGAAAATCTGAAGACACTGGGAGAAGCCGATGTTTCGTCATGCTAGAGCCGTATTTTCGTACACGGCGAGGTTGTTCGTCGAGTCTGCTTTGCAAGGAGAATGTGAGGCGAAAGTCCCGTCATTTCTAGCCAAATCAACTAAAAATAGCCATTTTAGCTTCGAATTGATGGATGAAACCAAGGACGGCCAAACGAAAGAGAGGACGCATGACCCAAGAACCACGTCTGATAGAGTCCCCATGATCCATCTTACTCTCCGCGTTGCTGAGCTTGTCGACATATGCGAGCGAGCGGGAACAAGTCATTCGGACATACACGGAGCTGCATGCTATGAAAAGTGTTTGCCTTGTCCCTTTTGGACCGAAGGCTGTTTGATTTGATTTCGAAGCCTGCGATTTTCTATCCAAGCCCGAGAGCATTATGTGCAAAGCCAGTCCACGTTGGAGGTCACAGCAGCTGGAGGTCAGTCAAGCTATGCAATATCCTTTGTTCATTGAGACTGTCTTCTAACATCCCGCAATTAGCGGCGCAAGTAGGTCTTGCCAGGGAATCACTGACTTCTTACCTCCTGAGCTCACTGCCCTTTGAGCATCGATGATATTTCCTCAAACCCACCGCGTCGGAAGATATCTGGCATATCACTCTTCGAGCTGTTTGCCTTGAAGGTGGGTTTTATGTATGTAGTAGCACCACAAGAGCCATCCGCTTGTAGGACCTCGTACTCTCCCGTGCAACCTATACTGAATTTGCCACCTCCTAATAAGCGCTCACATCATATTTGCTTTCGAAGGATGGGATGGTTTAAGTGCGTGCCTGCAACGACTACACGTAGATCAGATTAACCCTGCGCTGATATTGCCCAGTCCTGAACGGCGATGCCAGAGATGTCTTTGCCAGTTCTGGTTCCAGATGGCTAGTTGGACCCCAATTGGACTTCGACCGTGCTATATCAGCAGCGGAGCATGATTTATTGCATGACTCAAGAATACGTCCACAGGAAGTAATGGCCGCCGCTTTATCGCTGTAGTGGACTTTTACGAGAGATTGGATGGACTATGAATCGTAGTTGCTGACGGAAATTATTCACAAAGTTGCGACGGCTCCTATATAGAAGGGGCTGATCGAATAATCCTGAGCTGAAGCTCTTAATTACATGGTTGTTCTCGAGGCAAAGCTACATTTATTCACGTAATTGCTCTAGGTATTCTAGTGTAGAGTAGGTTCGAGTGAACTCATAATAGCCATCTGAAGCAATTTCTTTGACGACGGAAGGAACAGAGCCGACCGTATAATCATCTTGAATTGAGCTCACGATTCGTACTTTTGAGAGACATCATATGGCTCCACACCCGTAGGTCTGATCTTGAGCGTACCGTATATTGCCTGATCATAGCTGAGCATTTCTTGAACGGAATCATCTTAATTGAGTTGGAGGCTGCACATCAGGGAATGACGAAAGGGGTCAAAATAGGGCCTTGCGGAATCAAAACAATGCAAATGATGCTTCTATAATGTGGGTGACGAGACCGTGCTGCCCCTGTGACACGGTGACCAGCACTCCCTTCACCGCCCGACCATTCACATCAACATCAACACTCATCAACGTCAACGTTAACACATTAACACCAACACATCAGCACATCAACACATCAACACATCAACACATCAACACATCAACACATCAACACATCAACACATCAACACATCAACACATCAACACATCAACACATCAACACATCAACACATCAACACATCAACACATCAACACATCAACACATCAACACATCAACACATCAACACATCAACACATCAACACATCAACACATCAACACATCAACACATCAACACATCAACACATCAACACATCAACACGCATCAACACATCAACTCTCAACTCTCAACTCTCACCAACTCTCACCAACTTTCACCAACCCTAACCAACATGTTTGCTCTACGCCTGAATGAAGGGTGCCAATTTCACTACGGCGAGAGGACTATCGGACCGCAAACTATCAGCGCAGAACATTTGGGAACCTCCCCTTTGATAAGAATGACACTTTAGTTGTTATCTTATAATTTTGGCCATTGAACTTAACACGATCTGTCTAGGGCTCATTCTACCTATCCAATGATGATCCTTCGGAAAAAGAAACAGATTATGAGGAGGTTGGGCAGGTCTTTGCTTCTTCGAATACTGTTGAAAACTCGAATACTGGTCTCTAACACCACGGAGAGGTGCCTACACATCGCTAGAGGCCTTGTTCACGCAGCAATCCCCTGCAGAGCACGTTTGTTGACGCAGAGCTCGTCCTGCGAAGCACCTTTTTACACTCGCGGGGCTCAGGGCAGCGAGGAAGCACATTTGTTGACGTAGAGCCCATCCTGCGGGGCACACTTGATCACGCAGAGCCCATCCTGCGAGGCACGCTTGTTGACGCAGAGCCCATCCTGCGAGGCACACTTGATCACGCAGAGCCCATCCTGCGAGGATGGTTGTTCACGCAGTCCTATCCTGCGAAGCACCTTCTTACATACACAGGGCATTGGCTGCGAGGGAGCGCAAGTCTTACATCGCTGGGCTTGTGGCAGCGACAGCCGTGGTCATGGAAGCTCTGAAGTCCTTGGTTGCGCAGCTCTTCCCTGCGGAGTTCCTTGTTTTCGCAGTGCTCCCCTGCGGAGTTCCTTGTTCACGCAGTGCTCCCCTGCGAGGATTTTTGTTGACGCAGACCTATCCTGCGAACCACCTTTTACGCTCGCGGGGCTCAAGGCAGCGAGGGAGCACATTCTTACATCGCCGGGCTCATGGCAGCGACAGCCGTGGTCACGGAAGCTCTCAAGCCCGCAGGCAAGAGAGGGTCACTATGATGCATCAAAGAGCGAGGACCAAAGTGTGAGGATGGAAGTCCTGAGAATTTTGGGCTGGTAATCCGGCCCCTTCTATAATTTTTCGGTCAAGTCTCTACCAAGGAACCAGTTGCGCCGAGGGTAGCGAGAATCACTGTCCTTTCGTTGGCGTTGAAGCAAGTTGAACGACGTTGAAACGGTATTTGGAGACTTTGTGGCCTACAAACTCAAGTTTCGACCTAGGATCATTCCTCTCAAATCTTGCGTTGAGTATGGTGAACCACTTTCATCAACTGTTGAAAGAAAGCAACGCCGCAAAAATGTGATTCCTACATATTGTTGAGTTTGCAATTAAATCGCTGGACGCTGGATGTCTCGCTATAAAAGAACCTCTTTCTTGCTGACACATCAAGCAAGTGTTTCCAGATACGGGCCTTGGTAGACGGCTCCAAAAGTCTATCGGCTTGTTCAATATCGCCCACCTGGGGAAAGTTCTGAAGGAGATTGGCATAAATTGGAAGTAGAGTTTGCTTGTTGTGTTGCATGTATTGTCTAAGATACATGTAGGCTGAGAGATTCGTATACATGTATGCACGTGATCTCAGCCTCAATCATTATCTCAGCAACCGGGATATTTCAACAAGTTATTCAACGCGCGAATTACTCAATGCACGAATTAGTTACTCTACTGTACCAAGAATATGATTCTTTGTTTTTACGTCGATGAACTACGGGTTGAGATCACGCAGGAGAGGTGGCGACACAGGGTTGCAGGTCTACGGAATATAAGATGGTAAAGTTAAAGCTAATCACGTTCAGTCTTTGGCCTATCGCGACCACGAATAGCTAGAAATATTCCACTGTTCCGAAACGTTCGCTTTGATCTATATTACTGAGACTGCTGGGGTGAAAACTCTAAAGCTTCCATAGACATTATACCGGCCCGCGGAGTTATGGGCACTAATAGGGAATGTATTATAGATAATCGTGGAGATGTTGAGACACTTCTTTGAAATTTTGAACCGGCATGAATATCACTACGTAGTGATATTTTGCCTGGTTGAATCTATGTTGACCCGATTGTATGAGAACCTCCTTAGTTTTTCTGTTTATGAGACTGGGCCGCTTGATTGAGAGATAAACTGAATCGACTCTGGAAAATGACTCTAAGTGACTATTGAAACGTACTGACCTAAAGCGACTTAGCTACTTGAAGTCCCTTTGTTGATAAGATCAGTACGGGGTTATTGCACTATATGAATGTGAAAGTACTATAAATTTCTGAAATCTATGCTGACTTGTGCCTTTATCCTCGATTGGAAATTTATTGGCAATATAGTGTTTAAATGAAGCCTGCTATGTATAAACCTATGAAACTAAGCGTCTATGTCCTATGGGCGAAGCCTGTATATTTACGTAGCCTCCTAAATGAGGTATGTGTGTCGCCTAGAGTAAGTAATCCCTTGCCTACTCGCTGTATTAATGAGACTCCCTATGCGAGAATGCTTAGAGAAGAGGAAGAAATGGACTTTATCTTTAACGTTACTGTTAGTGTGGTAAACTGGGCTCTGCTCGCTGGCTATCTAGTCGTTTTAGGCACGTTTATCTCTCTCTAAAGCTCCGACTAGGTAGAATATGCTTTATAAGCTAATAAAGCTGGTTGAATAGTATTACACACCATATAAAATCCTCCGTTGCTCTCTATTGCCTGTTGTCTTCTTCTGGGGGGTCTTGTAGCTTTTATATAGCTTTTGCATTTCGCGAAGCTTAGAAGTAATTATATATGGTTGATTAATAGGCTTTTCACGTAAGTTACTGTACTACTTAAACGATAATTGGGGTAAGTAAAACTAATATATTAATAGGCCGATATCGCTAAACGCCGCTGCTAGGCTATTAACTATAATTATTAACGTCTACGTATCTTAGCGGGGAGATTGGTCTGTGATAGCCATCGTTACTACTGTCGCTACTGAGGCGACTCTTACTATCTCTTTGGTACTCTTGTTTTTCTATAAGTTTTACCTTCTGGAAAAGATTAAACGAGAAGACGTAGTGTTTACTCTTGTTTTGCCTTTGTTAAGGTCAGAATAGTAAGTTAAGGGGCTGGTATCGACCTGAGCATGGTGTATGAAGAAGATTAAAAGGAATTAGTTAGGTTGTTTTTTAGACCTTTATTTTGTATTGTTATTTGAATTTTGGAGTAATTACTATTTTGAAGATTAATAGACTATCAAAGTACGGAAGATTCGGTATTATATGTGATATGACGTTCTTGCTACGCTATTTACTACAAATACCTCGTTTCGTACTTCATCTCAATGTCAAGTCTGATTGTTGGAAGTGTACTGTAGACTAAGAAATGAAAGGCGTTGCTATCTCATTATAAGCCGTGCCGCCCAGAGAGCATAGGTATAGTGCTGGTGTAACTGTGATTAACTTAAGTTAGGCCTACGTAGCCCTTCTAGAAGTAAATAGTGAAAGATAGGAAAGAATAGAAAATTTCTAGATCTCTCACGAAAAAGCTGGCTAGCCCAACGGTGACAACTCAAAATTTTCAAATAAGGAGTCTTAATTCTCCATTCTCATTTTTATGCCTCAAACAATTTCTTATAAATTATAGCTTCTACAACAATTGAATTATGGCGCTGAAAGAAGTTGATCATAGGAAACTGCATACTGTAGCTAGGACAATGCGTAGTATTATGTATTCTTATGGGTGTTCTAGTACTTGTTAATTGATGAGATATTTGAGATCTTTTGTTTTCTAGTCTAAAATCTAACTTAAATAACGAGTCCTATACTAAGACTTAAATAGAAATAACCATTTCGATTTACTAAATCTGGCTATATATTAATATACATTTTGGACGTAACACTATCTAAGAGCCATTATATGTCTATTTAGTCTATAGTTAAGTCTAAGTTGGCCCCCCTACTATAACTTTCTAATTAAGTCAACGTCTTACTTATCTATTATTAGAATGTTTCTATGTGGCAACGATATAATCAGTGGAGCTTCCATCGCATATACCGAACATAACATTGCTGCGTCTAAGGAACCTAATATAACTATAGAGCTTCACTGGAATACTACCGATATACCTTTATCATTAATCATTCCTATATTTAACCTGCTAACTCTAAGTATACCTACTGTCACTACTGTATCCTATGCCGTTAGACAAGGTATACATACAGCGATGGATACTGTACCTAGTGTGATAATGGAGGGATTAGCTAGAAAAGCACTTTCTAATGTCCCACGACTCTAGAGACTCTACTAGATCTTACTTCTTATTAAATATATCTTTCTCTAGGGTTAGTGATAGCTTATGTTCTAGTATAAGCCATTTAGCGGTTTAGAAACACTAATCTACTTAAATAGTAAGGAGTCTAAGTCATATAGCGGTAGATATAGATAATGTGAGAAAACTATAAAGTGATAAGCCTAGTATCAATAATGTTTTAAAGAAATATAGAGTCCTTAGAAAAAAAGTAAGGCTTTCTATTAATTAATAATCAGTCAGGCTTATCCATTCTATTAATAGATAGGAAAATGCGGGAAAATATAGAGTACTATAAGCTAGGTACACCCTTAAGTTAAGATAAATAGAAATATTAAGATAAATAGAAATGTTAAGATAAATAGAAATATATCATAAAATAAAGGACTTCATATAATAGAAGGCTAGATTTAATCAAAATCAAATCGTAAAAGCGAGACTCTTGGAATCACGACTTTATAATCTTTTATAATTTAAATTCTAATAGAGACACCACGAAACGAAAGTAACGTAACACGTTTAGATAGAGAAATTAATACTCGTAGGATTAAACTTTATATATCGACTATACTCACTTATAAACCTTAAAAGCGATTATTTACTAGCCTTAATATATTATAAGCCTCTTATATCTTATCATATTCCCATAAGTACTATAGAATAAGGTACTTAGTAATAGGTTAGCCATTCTATATAACTAATTATCGCGCGATTATTTTAATAGGAACTTTCCCGTCCTATCATGGGATATTCACTAGATCAGCGATGTGATTAAGAATATATCACGATGCACTTACCTAAATACTATACTCTTCCTTAGATGAATACCCTTAAAAAAGATATAAAGCGTCTAATAAATGATGCGAGGTATATGATAAGCTTTCTAAATCTAAAGCGATGAAATCACGGTTGGTACTTATCTCTAAGGGTACTATAGAGGATTTCTTAGAAGAAGTATAGTTATCTATACCCTCTAACTCCTAATTTAAAAGAATATTTTTAGGACTGGTCATAATAGCTAATAAAATAGTAAAAGGAAATTTCTAAGCTATTAATACTAAGAGATTGAATAGAATTAATAGGTCTTTATAGAAATTTATCTAGCCTAATATCTAGATAGGGTATCTTTTAAGAGAGTTTAATTATAGATATAAAAATTTTAGATAAAAATATCATATTTATTACATTTTTATCAAATAGTATTTTAATTTATTAATAGGCTAAGGTCTTAAGTTATTAAATATAAAGTAAAGAATCCTCTTTAATAACCTTATTATATTTATCTTCACTATATTTAACGCCTTAACTAAGATAAATAATACTTTAGTATTTATATCATTAAGCGTGTAATATATATTAATTATATATAGGCCTATTAAAACATCTATTCTATTTATATATACTTTATTCTAGTCTTTATAATTATCTTAATAGCTAAGATATACTACATAGCTACTAAAGAAAAGGATTATGTTTCTAAATTCCATAATAATATAGAAAAAGAAAGGTAATTCTGGTGGCGAGAGAAGTTACTAAGAAAGGCCAAACAAAATAAATTAATTAAGCAGATTCATTTTACATAACTTCATAGTTAAAATATATATATTACTTCTACCTTACCTAGAAGGACGATACCTCTTAGTATTCTAGTAATCGTAAAAGTCTACTAGCGTTACTAGGATTATATATCTTGATTCTCATTCTTAACCATGACTTTTTAGTCACGCGACTATAACTTACGCATCATAAGATAATTCTATTTTTCTATAAAGGATAAATAGTCCCACAAACTTACGTTTTCATTTTATCGCTGGCCCTACGTCCTGGAAATAGCTAAGAGTTGTTTGTTCTACCTTAGAGCTAGTAGAATCTAGAATAGAGAGCGGCTTTTATGGTAGATTTACTTAAGGCTTTAATAGGAACTAGGACCTAATCGTTAAATGATAGTTATGATCTATAGGGTAGGATAATAGCTTTAATTAGCTTTTAGTATTTTTATAGTACCATACGCATAATCGTAATTAATATCGAATCAATACACTTTTAATATAGTACCCTTTCTACTAGTAATAAGAGAGCGAGGTAGATAGACTAGGCAAAAAAATGCTAAATAATTTTCTGCCGTGTCAGTCCCAGAACATGGGATTTAGACTACTGGCAGAATATCAAAGGGTAGAATTCTGCCAGAACTATAGTTTAGATAATACTGCCATTCTACCATCTACATATCTAAGCAGGTATTGTTGCCTCAGGCCCCAAGCCAGTCTGCGGCAGTGCATAACGCCTTTTATACAGACAAAAATTAGCAGGGACATGGCGAGTATTTTATGATTATATACATTACATACTTTTAATTACATATAGTGGGGTATTCTAGTGTATTACGTTCAAATACTTTTAACGATATTTAGAATGAACGCGATAGGAATAGCTTTAGCTGATGTCCTCAGATGAGATCATTCTTGCTCTATCTAGCACTTTTACTTGGAATGGTGGCATTTGAGAATTGTCGCAAGGTAATTTGATTATTGATATTCGAGGCTACTAAGGAGGAAAAGAGCCACGCCCATGGAAATCACTTTCAAGTGGTTATACAATATACTTATAGCCTCCTCGCGTTAAGAAATTCCATACGCATCATGTTAAGGTAGGGGTATTAACTAGGCAAGGTCAAAGATGTCAGATGTAATTCAACTGTAGAGAATGACAGAGACTAATCCTTGAGGAATTAACTTATTCCTCAAGTGTGATAGATATATACATGATGGGGCAGAACCCTGATTAAGCGAGTCATGCAGGTGCTCCTCGGGAGTAGATCGGGCACGATTAGGCAACGTCTCGGCCTATCCTGATATCATGCCCTAACGACGAGATTGCGCCGTAACACACCATGTGAGTCCTACGTAGGTCATTTGTGCGATCATCCTGTTTCTTTGTGAATACAATATCCCTGATAGACCCGAGATGTAAGACCGAGCTTGCTAGAGATTGTTCTTTTCTATCGATGATTGGCTGTGCAAAAACCACAATCAGACAGGTTAATGCAGCTCAGTACAAAAGCTTGAATTATTGAGGTGTAGGTCATGCCCGAGAATTTGCGAGCCTGTGTCCATGCTAGTATTAGTAATGAAAAGACGAGGTCGTTAATAAGGGAAGACTTAGGTGAGCGGGCACGCTCAAGACTCGCGTTAGCCATGGCATATACCTAACCTACGTTGGACGAATAAGTCGTCAAACGTTGGTGAAATTAAAAACGGCATTGCGAAGATCTTGTCGGTCATTCTTTCTGCACTAACTTTAATGCTCGTGCGTTTTCACCAGCGATGAACTGTTCACTCCAATTCTGACGAAGTGATCATTTTCAAATTTCATTTGTCACAGTTTTTTATATTCTCAGTATAAATTCGAGCAGTCACCATGTGTTTACCTTCCTTCTTTCACCTTTCTGTCTCGAGCTGCAGGTCTATATGGCCGTTAACCCATAGGCCTTGGCTTCAATGTAAAGGACAGAGGAAGGGGAGGTTTGAAGAGTGGAACAGGAAACAGTTGACGACCTTAATCTTTCAACGCGACACTTAGAAAGATACTAGTAGCTCAAAACCGTTGAAAGAAGAACAACCCAAAAAAACATGAAATAGAAATTATGACTATTTAATTTGATTAGGCTGGCTCCTTTCACTTCTCTTTCTTCCCTGAATCAAAAAACACATTCAAGAAATTATTCTGTTCGCCGTCAAAGGAAACTCTACAATGACTGCCACTCCAAACACCCGACCAAGTCGTCCTGATTCAAGCAAGAAAGCAAAGCGCCAGAAACGATGTCGCAGGAAAACAAGTCTTATGAAGAAAGCATGCGAATATAGCAAGATGTGTGACGCAGATGTCTGTTTGGGTATACGTCTCCGTGAAACAGGCCAAGTGTTCATTTTCTCAGCGGACGCTTCCGGATTTTGGGCTTTTCTTCAGTCTGAACTGGTAGGTCGGCCATTATTGTCTGATATGAAAGATAACTGACTTTCCAGGCTTCGCGTTATTTGAGGCCGAAATTAGTGACGGATCAAGATCTCTCTGTGCTTTAAAGCGCTTACCTTGCGAAGAGATGTGGGACATGAAGAGTCGCGACTGTGCCAACATAGTGCAGATCTTTGGGATCTGTGCTTCTGAAATAGACACGTGGGAAAGTTTTGGAGCTTCAGACAGAAGATGGGCAATGGTATCATGTCATCTCAATGCCGCTGAGCCCAGGTCCTTATGCTCATTTGATTAGCTAGTCATTGCTTCTCATTCAATCTCGTTTCTTAAAAACCGAGTCGGGCCACAATCTCCAGAAGCCTTCGGACAAAGTTACGCTTGGCCTATGCCCAAATCCTCCAGGGTTGTAAAAGGACAATCAATGACTTAGATAGCCCACAAAAATCCCCAGATTGTCGTCCTGCAGTTGACTTTCCTTTGATCTATTCCAAATCGGTGCTCAGAACGTGTATTAAATCATCCTGGAATCATGTTAAATTTCGCAAGTTGTCCCTTAAACGATTGACAACTCAAGGTGCGCAGCCATGCAGTTCGTCACTGTGCAAACTTACGTATTAGCTACAGATTCAGGAGCATTGCCGCTTGAAAATATTTGCGATATGACCTATACCCAAAAATAGGTTCTAAAACCTTGAAGCCAGATTGTCTCAAAAAGTTATGACGAAAAAATGATCAGTATTGCAGTCGTTCTGATCGACGCAGCGGAGGACTTTTGAAAGCTTTTACGTGGCGTAGTCGCTTATCCACTACCCTTTCTCCACATAATTGCAGCTCTGCATGACGTTGAACTCGAGATGAGCGCCTCACATGTTGAGGTTGGGACTGCGACTCTGGCACCGGGGCGAATTCTGTAAATTTTGCCGTGCGTCTCGTCGATCGTCTGATTGGAGTTTCGGCTGAGTTGGGGTAGGATGATTCACCAGAGGCATATAGAATTTCAGTATCTGGCTGAGTCGGCAAAGCCACCGCAACGAAGACAGGATGTGCCTCCAATAGGCGTGGATCAATATTGGCCATCTCAAAACTGACAGAGGGAGTGAGATGATCTGAATTAATTCAGCGGCTAGTTGTACGACTCAGTCCGTATCAATGTCGGATCCTGATTCTTCTTTCTCCTGTTTTGCGTAGTAATTGCGTTCGGTGGCAAGTCGATGGACGTCTTCTGCGTGCCTGCGAAGATGCATTTCGTGCAAAAGATCTTCACTGCACATATGACATCTCCGATCCTTCAAATGACATTTTCGAAAATGTCGTAAGGTTGATTTGTATTCGCTATATTTCTGTGTCCGACGAAGGACAGGAAGCTGGGCATCGCCATAACATTGAAAACAGCGTCGAGGTTTTTTGGCCTTTCGAATATACTTTCCCGCTTTCTCCAGAAGCAACTCTTCCTGCGACACTTCGGGAGAGAGAGGGACTGTTTTCAATGACTGCAATTTCATTGTTCTTTGCTCTTCATCAGTGTCATCGCTCGGAGCCGTCCGTTTACGTCGTCCACGCAGCGGCCCACCTTCAAGGTGACCACAGTATTGCGAGATTGCAACGACAGCGGCATTTCGTCTCTGCCACTCCGCATCTAATGAATGGGAAGTCGGCCAGGTAAACAATTTTTCAAGCAGATTGATCTGCTCTGGTAGCATACTGTCCGTTCGAAGGACATTCTTGGCTTCCTCGTCGTCGATGGCCGCTCCAGAGAGCTGCCGCTCAATGTCTATGTTTGCCTGTTTGCGGTCAAATTCTTTTCGAATTTTCTGCCTCAATGCTCTCTCTAGCCGGCCAAACGTGTTGAGCTTATCGCGAGCGAGTTTGTCACGTCGCGATCGCATCTGCTCACTCGGGTCATGAATGCAAACTTCAGCTTGCTCATCAAATCGTTGGACCGCTTCGACATACTCAGGATGCTCACGGATCGACGCTCGTTGCTCGGCGGTCAGATGTCGAGGTCGCCTCGTATCGATCCACCTGCTCATGCGGGTGATTGCGCGCATCAATGATTTATTGGAATCGCGGCCGTTCATCACATTTTGCATGTCCGTATCAATGTGTCGCGGAAGGTAATGATTAAGGAAGGTGCGGGAGTCCGCATGCTTCATGATCAGATTCTGCTGAGCTTCGCTGACTGCGTCACTGTTATTCAACATTTTCCCCCTCCATAGCGCATACGATGTGCAAACATCGAATGAAGCCAACCATGAATCTCTCCGAGACTCCTGAGTCGAGCGGACATGGTAACATCAAGCATGGGTTGATCCCACCGAAGAATCGGATAACCGTTGGTGACTTGTGTCTTGCAAAAAATGTAATGGTCCTCGACCTCAGGTTTTAAGGGGAGTTGCATCTGCTGGCGACCGCCTTGAACAAACAGACTTCGGAGTCTCTCCATAGAGGAAAGGGCTGGAGATTCAAACGCTTGCAGCCAAAAAAGTATACCAAAGATGAATACATGCGGGCTGAAGATAAGAGACGGGTCGTCTATGATTTCAGGGAATGGAAAAGTGTTGCTAAAAGAAAGTATTAATCGCTGAGCTTTCGGGGATCGGGGGTTTACATCACTCACATGGCCTCAGACCCGAGGAACCGCTTGGTATGCTCTGACTTGATTTCCGCCAGAAGCACGGGAGGGCCACCCTGAGGATCCTTCTGTATGGAGAACTGCAGATGCTTGAGTTGTAACGAGAGCAGGGCACTTAGTCGATTCACGGTGTAAATGCCAATCATGCTAAAGAGACACATTTGAATGCGCTCGTATCCAAAATGAAATCGTCTTTCCTGGGTTCGAAGAATGGTCTCATTTAGCTCGGTCAAGTCTTGTACATAGACTGGTTCTTTTCCTCGCTCTTGCTGATCGAGTTCCCATTTGTCGATCAGCAACCGAATTCCCTGGGTTTCATTAGCTCTGTATGTCGTAAGAAGATGATGGCTAACTCACTGCGTTGATTTCTTCGCGATCTTCGGGGCTGATCCTGGTACGGGTTATTCTTCGAAAGTAGCCGCAGAAACTCTTCCAATCGGCTTTGAGGGAACTAGCCTTGTTTGTTCCTTTCAAATGCCTGCCATCTTGGCCATACTTCAGTTTCAGGCAGTAGTTGAGAAAACGATGTACATCATTGGGTGTGACCTGACGAAGAGCCTCCGTCGGATCATTCCATTTCAACGACGCATCAGGGCTTTTGGCCTTCACTCGGCAATACCTGGTCATGTCAGCAGGCATCGCTACACGGGTTTTGGAATGTTCGCCCACTTTTGCCAGCGTTGCTCAATTCGAACCCCGCGAACCTTGGTCTTCTCGGAACGCCCATAGTCAAGGGGTACGTTTGCAATATCCTCGTCAGTGTCGTCATCAGGGTCGTCACTGAAATCTGGCAAATCTCTAGAGCGAATCGGACTACGCACAGAGTGTTTGGAGCTGCAGGAGACTCCGCCGCACTGTTCGGAAGACCGTGAAGGCTCTGGTGAAGTCTGAGTGGTCGAACCTCCGACTTGATCACCGTCTGGCACATCGCTATCGCTATCTTCTGGCCGAAAAGACACACCGGATGTATCACTCTCATTTCCCGGCGCCTGATCTGACAGTTCGACGTCAGCAGACGCGGCGGACATGCTTGGATCGGTTTATTAGTAGAAAATGCGCAGGCTGCAGGCAGGAGACAAAAAGATTTGTTGTGCAATGCGCAAGAGCAGAGTCCTTAGAGAGCATGCAAAAGAGCGTGTTGGGGCCGAAACGTGAGGGGCCACGAGGGGATCTGGGAAGGAAAAGAAGAGGTTGAACGAGGGAGGGCAAGGTAGGGAAAGTTGCCGATTTTATGGCTAGCGACCATAAAGCCAGCGTAGCCAATGAGAGCTGGAGCAAAGGCGGCCATTTTTGGCGGCGAGGAAGACGGAGGAGCGTTTTGGTGGTTTGGGAGTGATTGACTGGAAGGCCATGGAAAAGACTGGGAACGCCCAGGCAACGAGGGCACACCGGGGCTGAGCAAGTGCAAATGGTATGGGTGCAAGCGCGCAGGTGGGGGCCGGCTTGTGGTCATCGTTACGCCGTCTGTTACAAGGGGGTAGGGGTGGTGCGTGGCCGTGGTAGGAGAGGTGCGTGCGTAGAGGAGCTGTGCCGACGCGGCCGTTTCCAGCGTCAAAGGGTGCAGGTTTCGGCTGCCTGCGCACAAATGGTTTTTGTTTTAGAGTAGAAATATAGGATATATGTTCTAAGGGGGATAAGGAGGATGAGGTCTTAGGTAATATTCTATATATACCAGAGACTATGAAGGGATCACCTAACTAGTCCCTAGAGCCATCTTCTTTAGCCAAAATCAACCAGCTCCTAGAACCGTCCTTTTTGGCTAAAATAAACTAGGCGGATAGACCCGCTATATTAGTAATGAGACCTATGATCCTAGTTAATAATTCACGATTTAACATATTAGAATATCTAATATTTAACGATAATCCTGCCCATGATTTAGACGACTTAGAGTCTATAGAAGATATGGTAAATAACCGCCTAAAACGTGCCTCTGATAGCATATATAATATGGATTTTAAGGATTATAACGCTAAACGTTTTAAGTCAAATCTTACCCTATTTCTATTTATCCAGGCGTTCTCTACCGCGCTAATAAGCTAGCTAAAGAAGGCTTATATTAAGGATATTCCACTACCTCTAGAAGGTTATTATAACCTTAAAACACACGAATTTCGAGTCTAATTTAGAGAAGTAATAGAGGTAGAATTTAAGAAGCTAGAATAAATGAAAGCATAGATTCTAGTTAAGAAAGACCTCATTTCTTAGGCTTATATTAAGTATGGACCTATTCTATAGAAATTGTGTCTAATATACTAAATCCTACCTATTAGGTAGGTATTCGCCTATAAAACGGACCTAAATAGGTATGTTATAAGGCATAAAGCGCGCTTATATATATATAGAGACTAGTAGATCATAGAGGATCGTGATACGCGCGCCACCACGCTCGCCGCCACTATATTATATATTCTATTAGCTATCATAGCCGCATTTAACCTTAAAACCATATAATTAGACACTATTAACGCGTTCTTAAATAGTTAGCTAATAGACGACGTTTTCTATTATTATCTACTAGGATTTAGATAGAAAGGACACATTTTAAAGCTTCTTTAAGCCCTATATAGTCTCTAAATTACCCCATTTCTATGGCAATAAGAACTCCGCGAAGCATTAAGAGTATATGGTCTTAACCTAATTTTAGAAGACCTATATCTATATATAGGATAGAACATGATTATTATAGTCTTTATAGATAATATACTAATAATATATCATTAGAAACACGCTAAATTAGCGTAGAAAATCAGGTCATTCCTTTATAACCGCTTTAAGATAAAAGATTATAGAGAATTATCTTATTTTATCAGGATGCGAATTATCTAAGAATATGTAACTCATTGATTATAGATCTTATAGGATATATATATTAATAAAATTACTTACTATTTTAACCTTACTAGATATACTATACCTAAGACCCTATTACTATCTAAAAGACTAATGGAATTTAAGACTAAACTACCTCTATTATATACCACTCTAAATGGATATTAATAGCGTATTAGAAGCCTTCTTTTTAACGTCATATCTATATGACTAGACATATACTTCTTATCATAAGCTCTATCTATATTCTTAACTAAGGCACGTGTATTATATATTACTATAGTAGATCACGTCATTAAATATCTATATAGGACGAAATACCTTACTATTAAATTTAATAGGCGCAAGCTAGCTACTTAGCTATTCTAGGCTACCTTAGACGCTAGCTTTATGGATAATCTTAATTAAAAGAGCTTAGAAGGGTATATTTTCTTATTATATAGTAGAGCTATTAACTAGAAATCGCGTAAGCAGCGCACTATTACTATGTTAATAACTAAAGCTAAGCTTCTATCTATAATAATAGCCGCTAAATAGTTATATTAGATTAAACGGTTATTTTAATTAATTAAGTTCGATCTTAAAGAGCCCTTTATCCTATAATACAATAACTAGTAAATAGTTAATCTCCTTATTAAGTAGGACTTAATATTTAAGACTAAGCTAAAACATATAGATATTTAATAGAACTAGCTACGTTAAGAAGTCTAGAATAGAAACTTACTAATTAAGTAGGTTCTAACCTTAGAGATACCTACTAATAGACTAACTAAGCATCTTTTATCCTAATAATAATAACGCTTTATAGAATAGCTTAGTATAGTTAATATATAGCACCTTATATCTAACTAGTCTAGTTAATTTTAACAGTTTAACCCGCTATATTTCCTTAGTTATATTCCAGAATTTAATAAATTTTATAGGATTTACTTACTAAATATATAGATTTAACATGCTATTAAATCTAGGGGGGTATATTAGAGAATGGAGTCCTTACATATTCTCTAAGTTCGCACTTTTTTACCGGAATTCTCCGCTATTTCATTTATATCATATCATGTGATATTTTACTTAATTTATTTATTCTATTTGATTTCTTCTCTAAATCTCAGGTATTTAGTTCTCGTATTTTAGCAGAATAGTTTAAATCTTATGCTAATTTCTTCTCCACTTTCTATCCTGAGAATTTCCTGAGAAGACCCTGAATTAGCTTAGCTTAACCATATTACCTTATTCATCTAATCTAATTCCCTGAGATTAGTAACCAGTTACCCTGCCAATCTCAGACATAGAGCTATATTATATAGAGCTATATTATATAGAGCTATATTATATAGGGTGGTTAGGGAGCTAGGCTTACCTAAATAGGTGCCATGTAGGGGTTTAAACCCTAGTAGGACCTCTCTATAGTTCTAGTCTAGGTCTAGAAAATAGCCTATAATAGCTAGAAAACCTTGGTAGAATGGAGATGTCTAGCAATCTAGGGCAATTAATAGCTTAGAACCTTCTAGAAGCGCTCTTAAAGCGGTTATTTATTGATTCAAGCTTTTATCTCGTAGGCGACGAGATAGGGTTCGAGGGGAAGGTATAGATGGGACCGAAGTAAGCTGGGCTATTCCTTCTATAAAGGCCTTGAATTACTGACTATTTAAGATATTAAAAGGTAGGTGGTAGGTAGTAAAGAAGTTCATAAGTAGCTTAAGCTATACCTGATAGCTTATATGCTGCTTTGATTGAATTACCTAGGTAGGGTTAGTATATATATAATATATATGATATATATGATATAAATATAAGGTAGTAGGGTAGTAGGGCAGTAGGCTTACTATAGCAAAGGCAAAGCTACTCTAAATTAAAGTCTGGCTAGGGTTTATAACCCTAGAATCATAGCATTTCTTAATATGGCGACGAATAGTAGAGGTTCTATTAATAGAACCCCCACTATTACTCTAATTAGGGTGATTAAGTAGTATATGACATGCTATATAGCGTACTCTTAGTAGTCCAGTCTAAACTTCTATAACCTACTTAATATGGGACCAAATCTTTAAGGGGCCCTTTTTAACCTAACTTAGAGATGGTTTAATAACCTTTAACCCATTTAGGGTTATTTTCCACCATTTAAGGAAGGCTAGATGGTTCGATTAGGACCATATAGCATGATTTCCTACTTTAGGTATGGAAAACTACAGAATTCCATTAGATAGGGTACCTAGGGTAGGTAGGGTAGGTAGGGTAGGTAGGGTAGGTAGGGTAGGTAGGGTAGGTAGGGTAGGTAGGGTAGGTAGGGTAGGTAGGGTAGGTAGGGTAGGTAGGGTACTCTAGGTAGGGTAAGACGTTGATATTGACTCAGAAGGAGTAATTAGGTCGCTCTGGAGAGGGTTTAGATACCCTAATTCTGACATGCTAGGCATATAGAGCTAAGAGAGAGCTGGGATAAAAGGATTTTTAAAGATATTACCTTCTAGAACCCAATTAGTTGGATATTATATATAGGTCTAGTTCTATAGCCCTAATTAGTTACTACTATAGTGGTCTTACCCGCGCGCTATATAATTAGGAACACCAGTTTGACTAACCTATATTTCTATAGAACTCTTACCTAAACTAGTTAAAATAGAGCTTATAAGCTTATATATAAGGTTAATACCTTATAATATAGCTTATTCTTTATTTAAATTATATATAAAGGGTGGTTAGGGCGAAGACCTAGATATATGGTTAGTAAGGTGGTGAAGCTACACGTTCTACATATATATATCTCCCCCATCAGCATAGCAAATCAACCACTTTAAAAATTACTACTTTATACCATATCTAGCTACCCTAAATATAGGATGAACTAGGGTATTAGGGTATAATAAGCTTATATGAAGCTATATTACACATGATTACAATATATATGGTAGAATATAGGAGGAAAAGTGGTTACTATACATATATAGACCAGAATAGATTATAATAAAAAAAAAGGCTTGGCAAAGATTATGCTAAATCAGGCCAAAATCAGGCCAAATCAGGCATTAATTATGGCCTTATAGGCCTATGGGCCCCCATATGGGCCCCCATATAGGGGCATGGATTTTATGGGGTGGGGTGGGCCCTGAAATTTTGAAATGGGGGCCCATTTGCCAAAGCCTACTTGGCTCTATCTATAATCGTCTTTGCCTCTATCTACCGTACCTTATCCTGGCAC